TCGTCTCCTGCAGCTGATCGATGATCTCTTTGCCTCCGGATCGAGAGAGCGACTCTGAGGATTCCATCGGACATACTTGAAGCAGTCTGGCTCCGTAAGTATCCCCAACCTCAACGCTTCCAAGCGGTGAGCTTGGTCGGAGGAGAGCTTGCGAATGCGCTCTATCAGCTCTGATGCCCAAGTCTGCCATAGCACCACCCGTAATGGCTGGGTGATTTTGGGTGGGGTTGGTCTCCTGAAGTCGATGCCATTCCTCCGCAATGCGAGCCTGCTGATCCACTACCGTGAGGGGAGGGGCCGTTCCTTGAAACATAATCCATTTCGTTGATTGTTCCAATCCGTTGATCACATCGGTGTGCCTCAGTGCCAGCTGTGCCACCTTCAGGAGCAAGGGGTCTGAAGCCGTAGAGTGTGAGGCTTGATTGCTGAGATTTGCAGCTGGTGGTGGATGGGATGCTTGCCGGGGGATGCCGGGGGTATTGCCTGCGCTGGTTCTTTTGGGGAGGCGTTTGCTGGGGTCCTCTGGTGGTTGGGCGCGGGCCCTTGCCTCCCTGTCCCTGGCCCTTCTCGCTGGGCCTGGGGTACTTGCTGGGGGGAGCGGTCTCCTGAAAGGGATCTAGATCCAGCAGAGGTACTGAGGGGGTGGCTCAAGGGGTGTGAGTCCGGAACCTCCGCACTCGGAGGAGGGCTTTGACACGGCGACGAGCTTGCTGTAAGGAGGGGAGGGCCCAGGCATGGTGGGCTTGTACATGCAGTGTTCTACCTCTCGCCTGTACTAGCCACTGGCCACAGATAGGGCAGTATTTGTAGCAGTCATTCTGAATCGCTTGCATTGCCAGTGCTATCTTTTCCCATCCTTTTTCTGCTAAGTCTCGCAGCTCGGGTCTCCAGTATGGCGGAAGCGGATTGGGAAGAGCATGGCTAGGCTGGAGATGGACGGAGCCTGGGAAGAGTGTGACGCAGGATCTGGTTAAGATGTGTATTTTCAGCTCTTCCCAGTTGCGGCACTCACGTCGACAGTGCCGACAGATACAAAGACCACCGCATGCATGGAGCCACAGAAATTTGGTGGTCTGCTGTATTCAGACACAATGGTAAGTCGTGTGCTAGAAGATCTTCGTGCTTATGATGCACCACACTGCGTCGGCTGACTGCCTTCTGTTGGGCTCTGTCACGACGCTGTTGAGCTACTCGGGCTTTGAAGGTGCTTTTGTTTTCCTTTTTGCGGGGTGCAGGAGTGGTGGTAGTTTGGGATGTTGCATTAGGAGGTTTTTCCTCAGTGTTCACCTCCAGAAGCTCATGCTTTGCTTTGTGATGCACTCGAAGGGCAGCTAATGACGAGAACTCCTGTCTGCATATTGGGCATTGAAGAGTTCGTGGTGCATGGGCACTACGGTCAGCCTGTGTGGGAAGGGTGATTGGAGCCTGTGGGGTCCTAGAGGATGTTGGGTGAGGCTTATTGTCAGGCGGTGGGGAGGGGCCCGGCGTCAGGACTAGTGGCAGCTCAGAGAAGATGCCACTCAACATGCGGCGCCACTCCTGATGCGGTGCTGACGATACTAGCTCGGCTGGCCAGGTACTTGGCTTGAAGTGTTGGCATAGAGTCGCCCACGGGTCAGGAATTTTAAGACGCTGTAGAATGTCAGATGAGGGAACATGCCAAAGATGAGCCGGTGACCTGGCTATCATTCGTAGTTGGCGATGAATCGATTGCCTGAAGAGCTGGTGACCCTGTGGGGGCAGTCCTACGCTGTGAAGAGAGTATCGCATGACGCTCAGCACGCATGCCTGCCAGAGTCGGACACGAATTCGAAGGCTGAGCGAGCGGCTGATGAGCAGATGGTGCAGCCTCCAAAAGGAACCCCAGGCAGTGTTGAGGCGGTGACGAAGGTTGAGTTTCTCAAAGCTGTGATATGAGAGCTTAGCCCCAAGATACTTGTGTGACTGTACTATGCGAAAGTAGTAGCGGGCTTGTCCTACCCGGACCTCCAGATGCGGCACAGAGTCTATCAGCTTTTTATATTTGCTGAGCACTGAGCCCATGCTGGCGCCCTTGGCCGACAGCAAAACTACCGTCTTTTCTGTGCTGAGCAGGAGGCCTGCTTCTTGCAGGGTAAGAATCAGAATGCCCATTGCCTGGATGGCATTGCTAAGAGCTTCTGTGCTTTGGAAGGTCCAACTGCTGAAGAAGTCGTCTGCAAAAATGTTGGTGAGGCCTTCGGGTAGGTCCTTAATGCGCAACTGTCTGCAGTACTGTCTATATATGCGTCCTGTGGCGACCGCCCATAGTATAGGGGAGAGGGAACACCCCTGCCTGATTCCTGTTCCAAGATATACGTGAGCAGTGTGGGGCTGGGATCCCACTTGTAGACAGGCATGGGAATGTAATAGTCGTAGTACTAGTAGTAGTAGTAGTAGTAGTAGTAGTAGTAGTAGTAGTAGTGGTAGTAGTGGTAGTAGTGGTAGTAGTGGTAGTAGTGGTAGTAGTGGTAGTAGTGGTAGTAGTGGGAGTAGTGGTAGTAGTGGTAGTAGTGGTAGTAGTGGTAGTAGTGGTAGTAGTGGTAGTAGTGGTAGTAGTGGTAGTAGTGGTAGTAGTGGTAGTAGTCGTAGTAGTGGTAGTAGTGGTAGTAGTGGTAGTAGTGGTAGCAGTGGTAGTAGTGGTAGTAGTGGTAGTAGTGGTAGTAGTGGTAGTAGTGGTAGTAGTAGCAGTAGTTAGAATGGTAGTAGGAACTGCAGCAGTAGCAGCAGCAGCAGCAGGAGGAGGAGGAGGAGTAGTAGTAGTAGTACCCGTAGTCGTAGTCGTAGTAGCCGTAGTAGCAGTAGTATTAGCAGTAGCAGTAGTAGCAGTAGTAGCAGTAGCAGTAGTAGCAGTAGTAAGTAGGAGCAGTAGCAACAGTAGCAATAGCAGCAGCAGCAGTGGTAGTAGTTGTAGTAGCAGTCGTAGTAGTGGTAGTAGTGGCAGTCGCAAATAGCAACCCTCTGGAGAAGAAACACGCGACCACACTGGGACCACCAACGACTGTGAATTCTGCAAAGGCACCAACTGCAGTGACAGGGCCTCTCGCACAAACTTTATGGATTTGGCCTCGCACGGCATGGCAAGCACCGCCACGGAGTGACTCACGGTAGCACTCTCTCATCGATAGAGACTGCCAACCAGCAGGAGAAGATGATCATGATGATGATGACTTCGATGTCGATGAAGATAATGAAGATGAAGATGGAGACGTAGATTGAGATGAAGGAGAAGAATATGATGATGATCTGGGGGTAAGCTCTCGCGTGCATACAAGGCCTCTCACGGATCCCGCATCGTTTAGAAGATGCTCTACAGTGATTCAGTACATCCCAGGATGCAGAGCGGGTGGAGGGTGCGAGGAACAAGGCACCTCCGCGCAGAAATAGTTCCTTAGCCCAGGCAGGGCACTCAGACAGCACTGATAGCTTCCACCACCAGTCCCAAGCCTGCGCGTCGAATCCAGCAAGGCCTTGCAAAACTCTCAAAACCCACAACCCCGCAACCCGACTCCAGACTCCTACGTCAGCACATATGCAGCTCAGAATCTTGTGCCAAAAAGTTTCGGTGATAAACATGCCTGAGTCTCCAAGGATGTTGTTCAAAAAGCCCCAGGCTTCAAGACTTGTTGCCCAGTCAGGTCGCCTGCCCTTGCTTCGATCACTTGGCATGTCAGATCGGGATCGAAAGCCCGAAATGCACTTGATTTGACAAGAAGCCTCAAGCATCCAAGACTTGAATTGAATCAGAAGCCAAGGTTCATGGCCCATAGTCTGTGTTCTCTGGATCGAACTCCTTGTCTCTCCAGAGGTCCTGGACATTCTGGTCGTACCAGCTTTCATTGACTCTTCTCCGACGACTCAGCTGCTAAGCAGCACCGCAAGTCCCCAAGTGCCACATTGAAAATACCTATACCCACGATGCGAAGCTTAGCGGCGGATCCCGACCCAGTATTGCAGGGCTAGAGTTCGGAGTCTGAAATGTACGGCCGGAGCTGTCCGAAGCGCAGAAGACAGCAGGTTCACTGGATCCAAGAATCCCCTTCAAGAATTCTGAAAGCGAGGTGCTGCAGCAGTCGCACTGGAGTCGTTTGCGGATATAGTGCTGTGCCGGCCATGATACCGACCCCGGTGGCCCAGTGCATGCAAGGCACATATAAATCGGCGGAGTGCACCAGCTTCCCGTATGGCTCGGCCCCTGAGGCAGATCTGGCATTTCTGCTTGCGGATGTACTACGGTTCGTGCCTGCCACCTGTTTCCCCACCGCCCCGACCCATGCCTAGCGGTTTCTCAATCAGTTTATCGTTGACTGAAGCAGCCTCGAGACCGTAGAGCGAAGGAACAATCGGTCAAACAACCCGGAAAGTCCTGCTCTCTCGGATTCTGGCCTTGGCGGACAATGTCGAGCTAATTATCATCTGCTGAGGCCGTAGAGCCGTAGAGAGTGAGAGAGAGAGAGAGAGATAGAGATAGAGCGAGCCACTCGAAGAAATGATGAGAGACATGTTGCCTGCACTGTCATCGAAAATTCGCAGCTGGCCGCACCCAATGTCCAGAAGTACATGCTGCCTTGCTGTGAAGCGCCCGCGACATGATTGAAGATGCCGACTAAGTGAGGTGTACAGGACAGAAATGCAGCAACTCAAAGTTTCACTATGAAAAGCACTTCATGCTCCTCTGACGATTTCATTAAGCCAGGTCACAGACTGCTAATCGCGGCATGACACAACAGAAGACACGATCACGTATAGCTCGGAGTTAACTGCTCAAATGGGCAATGATACAAGGGACGTCAGCATATGCAGCACAAGAGCATGCAAGACCACGTGCCGGTACTCTTTGGCAATATGCTCGCAGCTGAATTTTCAGGATACTGCTATCTCTCAGTGCTAAAATGCTACAAAGTTTCGGGCTAGCCGAGTCTTTATGAAGTCTTCTACAAGGCTTTACCTTGCGGGCATGACCCCCACAAAGAATTGACTGATCATGCTCCGAGCTTCGTTGGCAACCTGCTATGCTCCAGCGCGCCCCAAACGCCTCTTCTCGACCTTACAGTATGGGAGTTGCCGAAAATGGGGGACCCTAACATAGACCCTACATACTAGGATCCTTATTATAAGGGCCCCAAAGTAAGGTACCCCTAATTTTCGGAAACTCCCGTATAGAGACTCTTCGGATTACGCTCGGACTCAGCCTGTGGGGATGACGGTAGGGGTGAAAAGCAGTCTGATTCTGAGACTTTGGACGAACCGGAGCGAAGCTCCAGTTCGAAGTCGTGATTTTCGTGCGACATCGTGCGATGCCAAGGCCGACTTCGACGAATTCGTCTGGACCCTCGCGGACGCAGCTGGGCGCAGGGCGCGTGCACGAAGCCGAAGTCCTTCTCCCGGCGCGTCACCACCGCGCGCCAGAAAGCGCTGCCGAGGTCGAGCGTGGTTCTCAAGACCACCCCGGCAGAGACGTTCAGCAGATCCTTGGACTTCTGCTTGCATGTCGCGTGTCTTCAACACTCTTTCAGAATCAGTTTGGACGATTGATGAAGAAAATTCTGCAAGAGATCCCCACTTTTGCTCCAAGCCGTGCAGGCGGGTCGCTTCTCCTGAGGCTGCATCGACCTCGCCGACCAGGGTCAGGGAAGCTCCCAAATGAGCCTGATCAGAGGCGAGACACGTGAGCCGATTATTATTGAACTTCCGCGTGTTCTCGGGATTCTCGGGCTTTGATTCACGTTCTCGGCAGAGGCAAGAATCTGGCTTTGCTTCCCCGCAGGTGCCCGAGTTTGCCTCTGCCAAGCATTAATGTTGCCAGAGGGGGAACACGTAAGGACCCAAAGCTCCCAGAGAGCAAAGGCCTGCTGCTCCCCTTCCCGAAGCAGCTTCGGCATGAACCCGCCTGCGGCATTGTTTTGTGCATGTCCAGCTCGCCCGGCACGATAGACTGGGCGGATGCACTTCCAAGAAATCCTAGAAAACCATGCGTATGTCAAGCTGCAGCTGGGCAGGCTACCGTTATGCTTCCGGGCCGGGCCTGTTTCTGCCTGAAGGCCTGAGGCACCTCACCATCAGGTCGACCGGCAGCCGCCGTGCGAACCTCTGCTTTCTGAAAGCAAAACTGCCAGCAGCCAAGGGTTGGCCGAGCAGGGATCTGACTGCATGACCAACTCTGCGTCAGCAGGCGGACGCATAAGGACCCGGTGAAACCAGACAACTGAGATTGTCTACATCTGTGCCCGAAAAAGCGAAGACAAACATCAAGATGTAAACCTGGTCCATTCCCTGCCCGCCCTGCCCGCCCCAGCACAGGCAAAAAGTAAGTAAGTAGCAGGCATTCATGGGTTGAGGCCACGCATGCTCGAAGGCAGAGATCATGTCGTTGATGTACGTGCCTGGCAGGGCCCGTGTCGCAAGCCCGGGTGTTCTGTTCTATACTGTTGTACTCTAGGCTATTCTTCGAACCAGATGAGGTCAGAATGAACACGACGTGCAGTGCAGCTTCCGGAAGGTATCTCTACAAGAATCCGTTATAGACCAGCGGTACGCCAAAACATCAGCAGGATTCAAACAAAACAAGATCTTCGTCTAGCAGAAATGGCATTGCATGTATATCTGGGAGGCAAACAGAGGAGATAGATCATGGGTTGATTCCGAGAATCCGACGATCGATCGGTTTTTGAAGCAGGGCTGTACAGCTATGCCTGCCCCTCCAACCCTGAGCTCATCACCTGTACAAAAAACAAATCTTTCCTGTTTGCATTGGTTGAAATGTCTAAAAAAGGTTGGGACCCCTCGCTGCGACATTGACAAGTCGTCATGTGTTTTGGTTCGAGTTCCAGGTCCCCGGTTTGGGTGTTTTGCAGGCCTTCAACGGTGTAACCCCAGACGTCAAACCTTGAGGCTGCACTGAAGAACGCAGGCTCGCACACAGAAACAGGGAGTCGAGTAGAGTAGTCGAGTCAACAGTATCGGATTTGAAGTTAATTTCGGGTTCTAGGCGGTTTGCAAAATCTCGAGACGAAAACGTGCTGCGAAACAGCAGACTCCTCAGCACAAGCTATTTCAAACCAAGATCAGTTCTCAAATTCTCGGATGCAAACATGCTGAATCCTAACATTTCCATTCTGACGAGATTCGAAGCTCGTGACGAGGCAAACAAAGACTCTCCGATTCATGTGCCGTTCTAGCCCTAGCCGAGATGCGGTTTACGGTGATGTCGAGCAAGGGGTCTTGGTTCGAATCCTCCCTCTTGAAGACCAAGCCAAGGACCTTGGCCAACGATCTTCCGTTCCCCATAGAACAGCAGAACCCCGATGCCGAAACTGCGCAGCCGCATTTCCACTATCCCGACAGTCTGACCTGTTTAGCCAAAACTCCCGGTCCAACGTCATGTCGAAATGCCCAACGATTACGTCAAAGATGCCTGCCAAGCAGATCGCGACTGCATCCAGTAGCAGCAACTTCAAGCAGCAGTGTGATGGGAAGATTCTTGGCTCAAGCGCTCCAAGCGCCAGGCTCGAATCGGGGCCGTCTGAGATGGCTGTGACCTACGCGACCACAGTTCCACCAAAGCTCTGCAATATTCTGGGTCTACCAACGACTCTTGATCGGCTCAGGGCTGGGGAGGTAGTGACTTCCGACACGAAAGGCCTTGCTGAGCGTCAGGTTCAGCTCCAATGCTTCCTGCTGCCCATCCAGCCTGGGTTTTTACACTCGCGACTTGGTCCCGTTAAGGCGCGCTAGGCACACGGCCACGGGTCTCCAGGCTGCCGAGAAACAGCAAAGGCAGTCGCAAGCGTTCCAGCCGTGCCTTGGAGGCAAGCACCTCAAGCCTGAAAATGCCTGAACGCACGTCCACTCCCCCAAGTGGTCTGCTACCAAGGGCGTCATACCCAAGCGGATGACAACCATGAGTGCTGGTGGGGCCAATGAGGTGACATTCACAATGCGGTTGATGAGTTTGCTGAAAATGATCGTGGTGATCGTGATGGCAGTGGTCTTTGTTGTTGATGTCGTAGCTCTTGTATTTTATGCTTTCTGTTGTTGCTGCGCTTCTGGGCGTGGCTGCGGCTGCATTTGTGTTAGAGGTGGTGACGGGGGCCCTTCTTATCGCTTTTGCACTGCTGCTGCCACTGCTACTTGACACTCGTCGTATGATTCTTCTTGCGTGCTGCTGCTGCTGCTGCTGCCACTCCCGCTGCTACTGCTACCGTCGTTGTGGTTGTGTCGTGGCTTTTCCTTTGGCTTTGGCTATGGCTGTGGCTGCTTCTGTGGTTCTGGTCGTAGTGGCGGTGGTGATGGTGGTGGTGGTGGTGGTGGTGGTGGTGGTGGTGGTGGTGGTGGTGGTGGTGGTAGTTGTGGTAGTGGTGGCGGTGGGGGCAGCCGGGCCTCTTGTTTCTTGCTTGCTTGCTTGCCGGGCGTTTGGGAAGTGGGGCGCGTAGCGCGCCTCTGTCCGTGTCTGGTGAGAGGTGACACTGCGAACCCTTGCCCCGAGCTGCCACATTGATTCTGAAGCTTCCAGCTGCCCTTCCCTTCCTATGGACTCTCAGGCCCGCCAGGGGCAGCTCGAGGGTCTCGGTTCTTTCGAGCGAACTTGTATTCGCAGGCTTATCTCCCTGGACATTGCCGGGCGAAGGCCGGCTAGTGACATACATGCCCATATACAACTCGGCGAACAGCACGCTCTCTCTCTCTCTCTCTCTCTCTTTCTTTCACCAGGCTTGAGGAGGCGAGCCCCCCACCCAGGGGCTGCCCGCTGTTGGCGGTTTGCATGGTATTACATGCAACAGGCTAGGAGTACCGGCAGACGGCAGCACTCTCTCTCTCTCTCACTCTCTCTCTCTTTCTTTCTTTCGCCAGGGCTGGGGGGGGGGTACTGCCTATCTCCCTCTCTCTTCTCCAGGGCATGCGGATGGGGGACGGTTCGGCCCCCCGGCACCAGGGCCCCCCCCCTTACTTCGGAGGCTTTGAGGGGAAAAGCAGCTGAATCACATCACTCTGTGCAAGACGTAAGATACTTCGGCAAGAAGCTACACAGAGGATTCATCTGTTGATGACACATGCGAGAATTGAAGTAGGGTCCGTCCGTGACTATCAGCAAACACACAATGGTGTGTTCTCGGCCGCAGACCTCCGGTATCACCACCTGGCTGTGTCGCTTGGAGCGGCGCGGGGCAAGGGCAGGGCGCTCAAACAGCGGGGTAGGGGGGCAACCTTCAGGTTTTTGCTGTGCTACTCTGGTGCTCGGCAATCAGGTCCAGCATCATATTGGGCTGGGCCAAGCCCCAAGGCCACACATCAAACCCTTGAATCCGAAACTCAAAAAGCACTCGGAACTGCGCTCCCAGCCTTGTTGCCCTCTATGAGGCTCAGCGAACCCACAGATGCGAGTTTCCCCGGCACTGCCGGGAGCAGGTTCGCCAGAAGACTGCTGCCATTGCCTGCCGCATGTGGACGCACCACACAAAGAGCACACGGCACACTTGGTGGAAAAGTGCTTAGCGTTCCACCTTCATTTTCGGAAGATAGGCGGGATCACTGCACTACCTCTACTTGATTCGTCAAAAGTATTCCTCGTGGTTCGGATTCGTCTCGGAATCAGGACGAGCTAGAGTTGCAGAGATTGACATTCACGTGTGCGCTGTTGAGTCAGGAATAGAGCAGCAGCAAAAGTGTTGGTGGTGCTTCTTGGTAGCGGTAGCGGCAGTCGTGTCTATTTGGGGAGTCTGGTGCGGTGCCAATAGCAGCGGGTGGTGGTGGTTGTCGCCGACCCTGTCGCCAAAATTTGTTTGAAAGTTCCAGCGCCGTGGTGCTGCAGTGGCAGCGTCGTCGTGGAGACGTAAAGCGAGTGGTTGTGGCAATGGCAACAGTAGCACCCGCAGCAGTAGTAGCAGTGGTAGGGGCAGCAGTAGCAGTAGCTGGAGCAGGAGCAGCAGGAACAGCAGTGGTAGTCGTAGTTGTCGTAGTAGTCGTGGTAGTTGTAGTCGTAGTCCTAGTCGGGGTGGGGGTAGGGGTTGGAGCAGGGGCAGGGGTGGGGGTAGTGGTAGTGGTAGTAGTAGTAGTAGTAGTAGTAGTAGTAGTAGTAGCAGTAGCAGTAGCAGTAGCAGTAGCAGTAGCAGTAGCAGCAGTAGTAGTAGTAGTAGTAGTAGTAGTAGTCGCAGTAGTAGTAGTAGTAGTAGTAGTCGTCGTCGTAGTAGCAGCAGCAGCAGTAATTGCAGTAGTCGTCGCTGTCGTCGTCACCATCACCGTGGTAGCAGTAGACGTAGCGGCAGTGGGAGGCGTAGGAGTAGCAGAAGGAATATGGACAACAGTAGCAGCAGTAGCAGTAGAGTCAGTAGAGTAGTAGCAGCCGTCGTCGTCTAGTAGGTGGTTTTGATACCGGAGATGCCGAAAGAGTTTCTTCGTTTCCCCTTTCGAGCGAGAAACTAAAAGCTACAGCTTCACCACAGCCCCAAGTTCCACAACCACACCATGCTCTGCCAGCATAGAGCCATCGAAAGCTGCAAGCCCCGGAACCAACACCGAGGCTTTGACGAAACAACTGAGGCTAGCTGCCCAGGCCAATCTCGAGAAGCTTCATTGGCGCCACAGCTGCACCCTCCAAGCGGATCTTGGTGAAGTCCCTCCGGCCGGTTTTGGGTGCTGCAGGTGGCAGTGAATGCCGATCCGTTGGCTCCAGATGGGGAAGGGAGAGATTCTCTTGACACTTAGAAAACTGATCGTGGTGAATGAACGAATCGGGGCATTATCGCAGGCAGCTCTACGGAAGACACGCTCTGTCTATCCAGGCCCGCTCAGGTTCCTATACAAGCCCCCGATAGCACCCTGCAAACCCGACCATCCCACTGCAGTCATACTTCTGCGCCAAAGTGCCGGACTGTGTAGTCCACTTGGAGGCCAGTCTCGGTGGAGGTGCCATCGAAAACTGAAGCCTTGCAAAAATCGCGCTGTTGGGGCTTGTGCAGGATTGATGTTCTGGATTTCGAAGAAATTACGAGACGTTGAGCTTCCCATGCGGTGTGACGGGCCGTGTGTGGAACAAGGTACGGTGTGCGATGAGCCCAAGTTCTTGGATGTCCTCAAGCATGCAGCGCTAGGGTCCAGAATATAGCTGGAAAATTGAGTTGCCAAAACGTGGGCTTCGACTTCGTTGCAAGATGTTGCACCCCACCTGCCGCATCACTCGAAGCCTTCTGCTGCGTGCTTCACCCTGGCTCCCTGTCCAGATCCCCATAGCATTCGATCCTGCACTCCAAAGGAAACGGCATCAGTGCCTTCACGCATTCACATCATTCAATTACACATCTTGCAAAAACAAAAACTTCCCATGTGGGGGCAGGCCGTTGGAGCTTAGAGCCTTGCAGCTTCGTGTTTCCGGTGCGCCTCCGAGGAGGAGTTGACATAGGACTGCAGCAGCAGCATCGGCAGCGACTGTTCCACCGCCTCTCAACGACAGGCATGCGCAGAGGGTAACTTCGTTACCGCGCGCATAGCGAACACTCTCGCAACCCCTCACCCGAAAGGGTAGCCTCACACGACTTGGAGCAGTTCTGGCCTCAGCTGCTGCTGGGTGGGCCAATGCCCGATGCCGCTGTTCAGCAGCAGTGCTAGATTGCGAGCGCGAGCTGCTGCGCTCGGTATAGAACTGCCGCACGGCGTTTTAGTGCAGCCATGCGGCTCGCAAGATACTTCTCTGCCAGGGGCTTCGGCAAAATGGCTGTTGCCGTGACATCTTGAAAGACGATACTGACCTGCCAGAGTGCGATCTTTGCATCCGAAGCGACATCCTGGAACCTGTCCTACTTCCAGGCAACAACCCTTCCACCGTCCTGGTCGCTCGCGCACCGCTCCTCCTCCTCTTCCTCGTGGGTTACCAGGCAGCGGCCCTTGATGTTGAAGTTGTGCCGGAGCTGCCCCACCCTGCCGGGTGGCTTGGTGAGGCAAGTAGAGGAGGCTCTGCGAGCCACAGTGGGGACGAAGACTTCTGCTCTGCCGATACTCTCGCGACACCGGAGCTCCGTCCTAGAGCCGCCGGCCTCATCGGAATCTGCACGAAGGCTTGGCCCAGACTCTCTGGGATGGCACTCGCCAGCACTGGCCATACCGAAGTCAGAAAGATCTCCTGGGCACCACGCAAGATTTAGCTAGCACATCCCGCTGAGAAACCACTCATCCAATGGTCTGTTCTGAAGCCCTCGACATGCAAGGCGCTGATTTTGGAGCTGATCCCAGCATGCAATATGCACACCAAAGTGTGCACCGCCGGAGCCCGACAAGAAAAATCCGAATAGGATGCGAAGTACAAACAACTGGGTTCAACCCAGCTTGAGAAGCATGTGGCGGCATGACCCCAAGTTCGAGCCTGCCGTTAAGGAGCAGCGGCTGAAGTTTACAACGAGCCGCATCCATGTTCCCGTAAGCGTCCGTGAAGTGGTTGATCAGCCCTTGCTGCCGCGCTTGATTTCAGGAAAATGCTTTATCCGACAGCCGCAAACCATCTAAAGTCCAAAGCGTGCAAGCTTGCCAGCGAGAGCCAAAGTCGCTACTGTAGCACTACGGAGACCACGTCTGGAGACTAAGCTTCTAGATTGCCTTGGGGGGCCATGGGACTTATGAGACGTCGGGCCGTTAGGAACCCCGGTGGCCGGATCTCTCCACTCTTTGAATCTTCAGGGCTGAGGGTTGGGAAAGAAGTATCACAGTATTTAGCTCCCCCTTGAGATAGGCTAAACAGGAACATCTTTCTGGAATCTAGGGCTTGCCTTGAACCAGCCCTCCACGTCCGAAGACCAACTTCACGTCAGAGACGGCTTTGGGCAGCACCTCCCAATGCCCACCTGCGAATGCGAGGTTTTCGCTTGCTCTGAGGTTCCTTGGGCTCGGCCCGCGTGCCTTCGCTCAGCTTGAACTCCCCCTTCATCTTGAAGCTGGCCTTCAGCGGCCCCTCCTTGAGGCTGTCGGCCTTGGACATGCCCAAGGTGAAGACCTGAGCTGCCCGGCTGAAGGCCTGAAATCCCGAGCATTGAATTATGCATATGATGTTCCTCCGGGCCAGGGGCTGGTCGTAAGAAGCTGTCGAGTTTTGCAGCGGCCTTCGTGATGCCCGGGACAGCAGAGTCCGGAGCCTTGAAGTGGATTCCTAGGTGTCGGCGATTCGGAGCGGCGACGCTGAGAACTCGAGGATCTCGTTATCAGCTTGTCAAAATTTCACCAACTACAGGCTCAAAGGCTCTACGGGACAAAGCTTGTCATCTTTGCAGACACGTCTCCTTCAACATAGACATTCACGGTGCCAGCCCCATCGCTGCCCCCAAGCTCGAAGGAGAATGTCGTGTCGCTGTTGCGGACAAGACTTCCTACAATGTCAAAGCTTACGACCTGGATCTTCTCGATGAGGAGATGCAGATCACCGATAGGAGTTGCCGGTATGACCATGCGAATCGAGGCATTGCCATACTTCTCCGGTGGATAGCGGATGGAATCCAGCTCCTCTTGCGCACGGCAAGCCTTGGACTCGAAGCTACCCTTCTGGGTTAGAGTTTTTGGTAGCTCCGTCCAATGCCGCTGTGCTTTCTCTTGCTGAGGCATCTCCTGGCTATCTGCCTCCTGAGCGCTGATCCTTGAGGCCGCAGTTTCAAGCAAGGCAGGTCGGGCAAGGGCAGGGTGGCTAGAGCCACCCACTGTCTTGCTCCAAGTATGCCTGTCCAAGACTGTCAAGAGATTTGTTTGCACGGTGTCCTGGGGCAGCACATACTGCGGCTTTCCTGCTACATGTGTGCCATATCTCCAATCGACAGCTTGGGGGTTGTGGAATTTGGTGTCGAATCGGCGTAGTTGCATGGCGATTGCCTTTCCGAGGGCTTGTGCCTGGCTTCTTGCAGCACACAAACGCTCCGTTACGTCCGAGGAGCCCCAGAGCAAGTTATCCTTCTTGCGCTCCAGAAGCAAGCAGGGTCCCAGCTCCTTGTCCTCAAGGGTCGGATACATCGTCATCTTCGCCAGATCGAACTGCAGCTGTTCAGACTTCATCTCCAGCCTCTTCAAGGGATCAGATCGCAGTGGCCACTCAAGCAAACGAAGGTACCCACAGCTCAGCACTGCCATGACCTTGTAGACCTTCCCGCTCGATTTGTGCCAGGTAAACTCATCTGAAAAGAAAACATATCCAAAATCCACGGTGGGCAACGCTGCCAGAGCAGAAGCCGCGACGGACTTGGCATCCATTCTCATCTGGAGTGTCCCACCGATCTTGATTTGCAAGCTTCCTTTGTCATTCCCGACAACGTCCACAGTCCCACTTCCGCCTACCTGCTCGATCCGATCAACCACGGTCATGTCCGGCTGACTGGTCGTCGGTCGCTGGAACTCCGCTGGCACAAGCCCGTCCGCAGACTCGGGCACCTTGGAGATGCGCTGCGGTCCTTCTCTGCTGGGTCGGGACAAGGGCTGTGTCTGTCTGACTTCGATTCCACTGCGACGACTCAACAGTTGGATCGTGCCGGAATGGTCTATTGCCATCTGGCCACCCATGCACGACATGGCAAAGGGCAAAGCCCATGCCTGCGGAAGCCTTAACGAAATATCCTTGACCTCGGCCACTATAATTTGCCACTTCGCTGTTGCATTTGCGCTGGCATTCGCATCGGGTTTCTGCGCCCAGTTTCGAATGGCAGCGAGAGCCAAAGAAATTTGATTCGAGTCGTATTCGAAGGCCTTGAACTCTACTTCTGCCAATTCGCCCTCCACTGGGAGCTTCGGAAGGAGCTCCTTAGAGCAGACCACGTGCATGCCCTCTGTACCCCGGCTCCAAGATCTAAGACAAAGTAGCAAAAGCTTCCGTCCGGGCATGTCCGTCATGCCCCTCTTGTCTTCAACCAAACAGAATGTGCCCCAACCCTCTGCAAAAAGGGCTTGCAGGCCGGGGCTCAAGGAGCGCAAGGGCATCCGCTAGTTCGAGAGGGGCCTCTGCGAAGCTGTACCTGGAGGTCAGGATGCTGAGAACATCTGAGAACTTCAAGCAGCACCACGCAAGGGGATGGCAAGGGAATGTTCAAAAGCACGAAGTCCATCCTGCCCTGTCGGTCGAATCCGAAAATGCTTAAGATGGCTAGGAAAGATTTCGTCGGCGGCAGATGTCTAGGCTGGCATGCCTATGTCTTTGACTGTGGCATATTGTAACCCTCGCAATCGTACTGCTTTGAGCATGCATCCATCTGCCTAAGTGCAACAGAGCTACAGTGGATTCTCACCATCATCCAATCCTGCTCGTGGCCTTGGCAAACAAGACATCCAATGTCATCCCCAGTTCCCCCGGAGCTCACACCGACACGGCCTACAACAACAGCATCGACATATCAGCAATCCACAGGCACCGATGCCAGGTGGAAGTTAGGACGTCCAGGCTTGCCCGCCCAGAAGCTTAAGCTTGCTGGGGTGGAGCTGCACACTTGGAAGGCCATTCTCAGCAGATGAATCCCAGTGAAGACCGCCACCCAGCTGCACGTTGAAACCTCGGAGTGGACGGGTGGTTTGGTGGCTGGCTTGTTGGGACCAACATGCCCAAGCGGTGCTTCCATGTTGAACTTGGTGATGCCACGTCGGGTGCAATTTGTTGCTTGAGGTGAAGAATTATGGGAATGCGGCCGCCTGACGTATGTAGTCCTGAAGACTTGGGATCTGTGGCGATCCCCAAGTTTTGGTGTGGTCCCGATCGTAGGTCTCCTAATCTGTAGCCAAATCAAAATCCGGTTAGACCTGAGATCCTATCATCGAAGAGAGAATGCAACGCCGAGCACCGCCCAAAACCAAGCCTGGCAGCCCCGGAAGTAGTCAGACTTGCCCTCGGCATGAGCCTGCCATGTGCACGGCGAAGAAGGTGTCCCCACACCCGCTGCACATCGGGGTCCTTCAGGAAGGGCTGCAAAAACTGGACCAGCAGATCGCTGGTGATCTTCCTGGCAGGCGCTTCGCTGCTTCGCTTTGCTTCTGGCTCCACCCCCCCCCACCCGCCACGCCCTTTCCCGTTTTCCCGTTTGGGTCCTGGCTTGCTCCAGCAGGACTGGGCGAAGCGACTCGAGGTTCACCTGCGGCTCGGTGCTGGCTTGTCTCTCTCTTCCTACCTGCCTTCCTTCCCTGGCATATGAGTCTCGCTCTCTTGCTTGCTTGCTTGCGCAGGGGTATGGGCTCCCGAGGGAACCCTGGCCCGAGGGCCTACCCCCCCCACGGTCCGCGCGCTCCAAGGTCTGTTCGGCCCCTTCCGGGGTTGAGAGAATGACTCGTTCCCCCGACTAAACTTGATCACCCCGTCCCCAAAACACACCTGCTAAAACCATGACCGTAGGAAACCTGCAAGTTCGAGTCGGGTCATGTCGTGTCATCCGAGGTCTCTCCAACAGTGCGGGTGAGCTCCACTCCCCCCTACTCAGGCACGGAGCTTGTGGTCTTAACCCCCTGAAGCATACGGCCAAGGCTCAAAGAACAGCGTCTCGACTAAGGGCCACCACTGCCAACATGACGATAAGCTATCCGTTCCATTCTCACGAGTTCCGTTTCCTGATTGCTGCGGGTCTTGTCCCCCAGCGAAAAAGGTTACTTGCTTAACCCAACCTTACCTGCCTCCCCAACCTAGCCCGAACAGAACCTTGCGCAGCACGGCCTTCACCTACCCCCTCCCTGAATCAGTCTCGCTCTCTCTCTCTCTCTCTCTCTCTCCCCGCGTGAAGGTTCGCGCACCTGCGGCTCATGGCAGGTGTGTACATCCAATGCAGGGATGCTCCCTTATGGGGCTGTACTGAGACGGCATTGGTGGGTCCATCCCCCATCACACGAGGATCAAGGAATACAACAAAAGCAGCTGCAGCTTCAGTAAAGTGCTCTGGAACACCCTCCCCCTATCAAAGGTGCAACTACTTGCCAGCAAGCGACTCGGTGCGTGTTGCCGGACGCCTAAAGGGTGTTGGCCTCCCCCGAATCTACTCGCTATGCCGGAGCTTTTGGGACCTACGTTGTGTGCTCCCAGCTTCGCCTGCGCCTGTGAAAAAAATTATGTGGCCACGACGCTGCCGTGGCATGCCCCGCCAGCACACTTCGCCTCGCTGGAGCTTGGGGGGACCGCACTCGACATCGACGACAGCAGAATGAGCCTTACGAGCCGATGAGGCAACGATCTCTAAACGGAGACGATGATGACGGGCGTAGCCACTCGGCAAGGTGTGGAGCTCCCCCGCTTCGTTGATATCAGCTCTGAGACTGCGGTCATGTTGTTTCCGACTTGGCTTGCAGGTGCCGGACTGACATGCTGGTGGCTGCCCCCTCCGCTGCGTGATCCGGTCCCCACATTGGTGTCTCGTGACTTGAGGACGGTCTTTCTTTTCGGCTCGGTCATGGGCGATGGGAACCGCGGTCGGGTCGTTGTAGTCTGTCCCCACGCCAGGCGCGGTGCTTCCCCCTTTGTTTCTGGTGCCTCTTCTGTTTGAATGCCGTCACTGATTGCCACGTGCCCCCCGAAGAGGTTTTGTTGCCACGGCTCTTTGCTTTGCAGTAGATGCACGGCTATAGGCACCTGGTCCCCCACAAGCGTCGTGATGAGTACCCTGAACTCTCTACTGCCTCCAGTAGCACAGACGTCGGCAGGGTGTGCATCTGCTGGGATAAACACCGCATCCATTCGGTCTGGTGGATCGGAAAGCTTCGTCGCCTCTGAGTTCCAGGTAGCTGGTCCCTGGTGGAGTAGTTCTATGAGCTCCTCCCAAAAACCCTCAGTATTCCAGCTCAGGTCCTCGTCGAACGAGGAGTCACGCGCCGAGCTGAGGAGATGGCCTGCTCATTGGACTTGGCGTGCAGCCAGTTGAATTTGCTGCTGCGCGATGCCGCAGCAGCGCCGCCGGGCAGTACGGGTTGGCAGTGATGACCAGCTGTGCTGCAATGCGCACCATCGTGACCAGTGCATCATGATCTGGAAGTTGTTCCGTTGTACCCCGGATCAACTGCAGCTGCCTGAACATGGCCGTCGCGAAACCCTTCCAGTAGACCTCCATCGTCATGTCGCCCGCGAAGGCCGCCTCCGAGGAGGCTGTCCGCCCGCCTTCGGGGCTGTGCGGGGCTCGCTGCATGAGCTCTACGCGGTCGCGCTCCGGAAGGCCTGCGGTGTTGGGCTCGGGCTTACCATCGGGCTTGGCTTGGGCACGACTTGTCTGGATTTGTCTGCCATCTCGAACTTGGTGATACCACGGCGGCGTAGCTGTAGGTGCTTGTCCGTTGAGGGAAGTTGGTGCAGCTATGGCTTGTGCTTCGCGGCTGGAGCGCCGCAAGCTTCTTCCGTCCTGCAGCGGATCATGCGGTCGCTGTCGTGGCTGCTGTGGCTGTGCTGGCTGGTTTGTTCCCCCTTCGGCCTCCTGTTGGGGGCTGTTGTGTGGTGGTAGCGAGGCTGTAGGTGGCTGTGGAGGGTTGTCCCCCGAACTTCGGGCCAGCTCTTGTTAATGAGCCCCCTCTCTGTCTCTGTCTTCCTTCCTCTCGCTCCGCTGCTTGAGCCGTCAGTGGACCCATGCAATCTGCGCACCCCCCCCCCACTGCCAACCAGTCTGTCCATGAACCCTCCCCATCTGCAAAAATTATCTGTGAACCTGTTCCACTTTGTCCATCTGTCTGTGTTTGCTTTGCTTTGCTCAGCTTGGGAGGCAGGCAGTCCCTGCGCCCCGCTCCGAGGAGCGGCCCCATCCCGTCATTTTGACTGGGTGGGCTCGACTGTACTGTGACTGTGCGAGTGTTTGGTGCCCATGTTTGAAAAGTGTGCCCCACGCGACCATGAAATTGTGTGCCCCCAACGACTTCCCTGGGCACCTTGGACACTCGCTGGGACTGGTGCCCTCTGCTGTTGGGCTGTTGCCCTCTGTACTGGTTTGACATCCCACCGTACCTGCCTGAGCCCTGCCTTCACACCGTACTGAAGCCTCACTCAAGCGCACTCACTGCCTGTGACCTTCCACTCAACCCTTAAGCCTGTCTACTACAAAAGCGAGTGCCCTGCACCTTTAGTTGCTGCCCTCAAAGGTGGTGTACATTACCTAGGCCCCTCAACGGAGTGCACTTGCTGGGCGTGTACCCCTGTACTAGCGCACACCTGGATCGTTCACGCAGGTAGGTGCCGGAGGCTAACAAGACATGAAGTACACATCTGTCTGTGTCTCTTTCTCTGTCCGTCTTTTTACTGTGGTCCAAATATGGTCCAATATGCATGGGACATCGGGAGCCTCGAGGCATCGGGCCCTCACCGGTCCCGTGGAGGCCCTGAAATCGGAACCTAGGCCTTCGGGTTGGAACTCCACAGACAGCGCAGAGATCGAAAAAAGGTGCGTGAGTCTCGAAACAGTTTTGCTGCCTCGCTCTGGCTTAACTCAGGTTGCTTCAGTAGTCTCACCGTTACATCCCTACGACTGACCCTGTGAAGCGTTGAAATACGAGTGGCCGTACCAAAAGCATAAACTGAACTTCCCTGATCCCGAACACATCATGACACGAAGCGAAGCTGCCTCCTTCTCCGTGAGGGACTTGAGCTGGTCACTCACCACGAATCCTGGGCCGTTCGTCTTCGTCCGCAACAGACTGTCCTGACAACTGTGTCCTGTGTCTTGTGCTTGGGTGTCGCCCACTCCTGGTGGAGGTGAACTTCTCGAGTTATCGTTCCTGCTCCCTGCACGCAGAGATGCTGTACTCGCGCAGGTTCTCGATCAAATTCTTGCCGCCAGTTTGCAATGCCTGAGACACGTGCATCTCCCAACACTAGGGTGCGTAGTGCTAACTGACTGGAACATGCTGAAACCCAGTGAAGTAGGAGTGGCACAAGCGGCGTCACAAGCGTCGTGGCGCAGGAATTACTTCTAACATCAAGCTTTTTCAGCAGACTCTTGTGTTATCAGTACCGACTGCACTCCCTGGCAGGCCGATTCAAGCGCACTGCTGCCCTCTACCCCGGGTGCTTCGCAGCTCCCAAACTGACGATCGAAGTTCTTAACTTACACTGGCCTTTGCCACTTTGGGGTCCGCCAGGAAAGCACCCACGAGTTCCTCATCAGCTCGCGAAGGTGCACAACAGTTGCAGACTCGGATGTGCCTCCACGGCTTCTGACGCAGCTTTGGTTTGTTTATGCACCAATACCTTCTAAACTCTGTACATAGTATGCAGCAGATGGTGCTGGACTTGTTGACAATCGCGACATGCTCAGGAGTTTGCAGTGCTCTGAGTAGTCTGAAACTCTGAGACTCGCAACATGATTGCAGCCTTCTTTGAAGCAACCCTACCATACAGGAAAGCCAAAAAGCAACCCTGAGCAACGATGATTTTGTTCTGGATCCAACAGGAAAGGCTAAATCAAGCCAAAACTAAAACGAAAGCACTCGCGCCTCCGCGCCTCGACTTTTCAGCACGACTGCAGGCAGCATGACAAAAGGACAAGGGTATCTCTGCGCCTCCGCCAAGTGTTCCACGTCGAAATTGTGGATCAGAACGTCGAGAAGCCTGCATGAGCAATTCCTACTACAGCTGCCGTGGACTTTGAGCTGTCCGGGACCACGGAAGAACTAAATGTTGGTATGTACATACAACTCATAGGGATGCTACCAACTTACCGGCATATGATATAACGTGGAAGGCGGGGTCTGAGTCAGGGTTCTGTGGCCTCGCAGGTACAGTGTGTGCCGTCAAGTCATATGATGACTCCAACGCAAGATCGCCATTCACCTGGGAAGCCATGTGCCCACGCACTACATGACCCACACACGGGACACACCCACTTGCCCAGCAGTGCTCCGCGCCACAGCAACACCAAGTCACTTCTGTCATTTGCCCGGACAGCTTCATCCGCCCGCTCAGCCAGAGGTCCTGGAGAGAGGATTTGCTCAGAACACGCAAGTCTGCTAAGTGCCGCCCTGAGCTCACGGCGGAACGTCCTGAAGCTCAGGTGGCCGGCCATCCAGGAGCGGCAGGAACTGCAGGGAGGCCAGGAGGTTGATAGGAACGGCCGTCTCCTTGGAGTTTCCATCGTATCATCTTCTCGACTGGGGCATGCGAAGTTAGATGTTCAGAAAATCTTCAAGCGTGGACCTGTTACAGGTCATCGTGCAGCAGGTCGGTTTGCTTCTGGGATCGACCACATGTGATGAATGCTGCGATCGTCGTGATTCGAGCCTGCTTGTCACTTCAGTGCGCCGCGGCTCGACCAATTTGAAGAGGTTGTCCAAGAGCAATTGGTCTATGCCACCTCGGTTTGGGGACGAAGAAGCTTGGAAGCTGAATCTTGCCGTCCCCGGCTCGGATAAGCCGAGGAACACGACTCCTTCGCACGGACTTCACAGACACTCGGAAGGCTTCCTAATCCACCGCGCTTGCCGCGAGCGCCGCGATTGCCGCGTCTCCGGGAGCACAGGGCCTATGGCCTGTGGCCTGGTAAGCGTGAATGAGACATGACTACCACCCCCTGGTCTTCAATTAGGATGAGAGAATCAGAAATGAGCCGTCCAAGGTCCGAAACAAGATACTGAGATTCGGGGAAAGCGACCCAAGAAAGACGCACCGAGGTTGGTTGGAGGTCGGGATCACAGCGCAGGACAAAGAGCAAAAAGTCAAGGCGATATACGAGAGCCCAACAGACAGTTTGAGACCCTCAGTACTTCAGGACGTCCTGACATGCTGCAAACTGGGACGAGTGCCAAATCGATTCAGCGCGAAGTCCAGGATTTGCTGGTTCTCGAAGCTGAAACTGAAGTATCGCACCTGTGCATTTGAAGGATCTCCATGCGTGCTTTTGAAGTTTGGCAACGAAGGGACTGCAAGCAGTCGGGCTGGCCGGCAGCGCAAACAGTAAAGCCGGTCATATTTCTCACACACGGCAGAAACGGTTTGACCGATCCTCGGCCAAACGCCCGTGCCTTCGTCTGAAACAATTCCGCCACCCAGCTGCCCTTTTTCTTCTTTGCATGTATCTTCCCCGCGAGATCAAAGTGGACCGTGCCGTTCCTCATCCAAGAGAGTCAACAGAGGCCACATTACCAAGTTTACAAGGAATTACGGAGCAAGTCGTTCTGCATTTACAAAATCGAGCCAGAGCGTTTCCGAACAAGAACAGAGATGCTGGCCCTTTGCCAGGGCATCGCGGTTCGCTGCGAGGCTTGAGGCCCAGTTGATGATGGTACTCTCGGTGACGACCTGGAAGCCACTGAGCCACAGGTCTGCTTGGCCCAGCCCAGTCTTCTGCCCGATAGAGTCGTCACCCACGAGCTCGAACTCCAAAGCATCCGCACCGGTTCGAGTTAACTTTAACTCGGCCTGCACTCGGCTGAACCGAAACTTCTCCGCAAAAAGATAAACGTCACTATCTGTGTCTCGTTCATTCACACCTAGAACCATGCGCACGACGAAGCGCTCGTCGAAGTCCCTCGTCCCAACGAGGTCCAAGTTGTCTTGCCTAAGGCACTGCAAGCGATCTTCATTTTTGGGCACCTCCTCGGGGGGATCTGCAAGATCCAGTCTCCCTCGAATGCTGGAAACTATCCATGGCAGGAGTAATGCCAGAAGGACATAGCCAGAATTCGCGACCATGGATGGACAGGTTAGCAAACCAAACGAGAACTCATAGTGTTGGCACCAAGCCAACAGCTGCGGCCACTTGAGTGCTCACTGCTTGACGAAAAACGGTGCTGGATTAACAAACATGTCAGTTAGCCACTTCGGCTCGGCTCGTTCTGGCCGATTCTAGGAAGACCACAAGCCCGCAACCCATGCCCGGATGCTGCTTGCTCGTGATAAACAAGCACTTATAATCCGCGACAAAAGGTATGACTGCCAGCCACTGCTGCTGTCCCTCCTCCTCTTACGTACCACTACCACTGCCACGACCACGAAAACACTATCACGACCACGCCCACACACTACCACTGTCACTACCTACCTTTCGAAAACCTGCTTTCCGTTGTGAGATTATTTTGCTGGTGCTGGGGCATGTGTTGTGTATGTGCGGGTGTGGGGGCGGGGGTGTCTTTCTCTGATGCTGCGTGCTTTTCTACAGCAACAGCGCTGCTTAAGAAATCACTAGTGTCAGAAATTGAGCCCCTCGGACAGCCGTGCGATAAAAAGATAAAAACAAAAATAAGCACATTCAAAAAAAGAAATCCAGGGTACCCTGGACTCGGCGGGCCAATTTCTCATTTTGCTCTTTCTCATTTTGTCTTTGCTGGTGTTGTTCGCGCAAAACAAACAAGAAACCAAGGGAGTTTCCAAAAGCTAGGTGCCAAACTCTTACAAAGCAAACCAAGAAATTTAAGCATAGGAGGATTCGAAACAACAACACTTTCCACTCAAACTCATGCGCTTATCCACTCGGGCGCGGCAGCCGACGAGTCCTGAAACGCCACTATACCAATCCCTTTTCACCCAGCTTGCAAGCAGCCTTTACCAGAACCCCCCAAAAGAAGAAATCGAGCCCCTCAATTTCTCAAATTTAAGAAATCGAGCCCCTCAATTTCTTATTTTGGTGGTTTTCCTTTATGGCAAAGCCTAATTTAAGCCCATATTAAGCCCTTACAAAGCCTCCAAAGCTGTTATTAACCCAGAACCCACCAAAACAAGAAATCGAGCCCCAAGGCCTTAATAACAGCTTTGGAGGGCTTTGGAGGGTTTGTCAGGGCTTAATAAGGGCTTAAATTAGGCTTTGCCATATAGGACAAGAACCACCAAAATAAGAAATTGAGGGGCTCGATTTCTTAAATTTAAGAAATTGAGTGGCCCGATTTCTTATTGTGAGGGGTTCTGGTAAGTGTTGCTTACAAGCTGAGTAAAAAATGGGATGGATACAGTGGCGTTTCAAGAGTGTTGGGCTGCCACGCCCGAGTGGATAAGCACATGAGCTGGAATGGGAAGTGCTGAGGGCTCGAATGCTGCTGCGCCTTCATTTCTTGTTTCTGTTTTTTATTTGCTGCCGTTGCAAATGAAGAAATTTGGGTTAAGAAATCCAGGGTACCCTCAAATCCCGAAACGTTTTTTCCTACAAAAAGGTGCGCTTCAAAAATAAGAAGTCGAGCCCCGCTCACGACAATTTAACTGTTTCTTAACCGGCGCTGTCGCTGTATCTTCACGCCTTCATTATGTTGGGGTTTCGGATATTGCTGCTTCTTTGAGGTTCGATCTTGCTGTGGGGGTGAGAACATCCGTGTCTAATGCTCCGTGGGTGTTTTTGCCTGTCGCGGGCTAAGTTTTCAGGTTTCGAGGTGTAGTTAGGGCAGCCGGCATGCAGCCGTTGGTTAGTACGGGGCTCTGGGTCGGATGCGTCAACCGCTTTTACGTGCTCCAGGATGGAACAAGATGGGTCCGGAAGTTGGAACAACTGGGCGGGTTCTAAAATGAGGCGGAGCGTGTGACCAGGACCTCCCCCCCCCCCACGCGCCCACACCTGCCCCCTGCTTCCCCGAAACACCACCGAACCCTCGCAAATTTATCTCACTGGCACAACATTGACTTTCGACCATGCACGAGGTACAAGAACAAAAACAAGACGAGCAACATTACCATCACCACCAGCACCCACATTAAGTTATGTTTGGGTGCATGGGTGGGTTGGCACCGAGGCTTGGCGGCTCAGGATTAACGCTTCGGCTCTTCACGTAGAAATGCTTCCGCAGCTGTCGGGACCATGGCCAATGTCTAAGGTCGAACTCAACACATCTCAAAACTCATTGTAGCCTTTCTAGTCGACTCTTGGAGAATCAAGCAAAGCGGGTTTGCGCTCCGTTTTCTTCCCTGCAGTGGAGCAGTCACGGGCTTGGTGATTCCCGCAATGTGCGGAAAGTCGCCTGGTGACTTCGTCCTCTTGTGTATGCGTACTCATCCCACGACAATCCGACAAACAAGTAAAACCTGGCGATCACCCCTTGCTCCGAGATTCTTGATCCACTCTCGTGTAGCGGGGGAACCAGGCCCGGAGAATAGGAGCTTTCAAACCGTGAAGGGACAGAAGAAGGCCGCCGATCAGCCCTCGTCGAGGCTCACTTCTTGGCCCGTGCCCACCGCTGGAGGGGGCCCTCCACCTCCTGAGCACGATCTTTCTTGTCAACCTGCACTGTTTTCTGGTTGCCGATCGGGAACGGAAAAAAAAACTTTATCAAGACTTCATATCTGGACTGTTGGCTAGTTGAGTTCACAGCCCCAGCCCTCATCTCAAGATGTGCCAAACTGGCACTTAGAGTTCGTGGAAAGCTGTGAAAAAAACTGAGCTGGGGGCCCCCGCGCGTGCTGTCGGCAAGTCCGGGAACCAGCTCTTCGCGTCGATCGGATTACACCTCGCTGGCAGCAAGGTCCCCAACATGCCACAAAGCAACGGACAGCTCCGCTTATTGGGCCCCAAGCCCTGCCCCCAAGGCGTGGTCTGGAGGCGAGCACACAATCTGAGGGACAGTGGCCGATTTTGGTCCTGAGATCCTTGAAACCACTGGAGGCTCGGGATGTTGGCATCACGGCGAGAATTGACCAAAGACACCGGAAAAGGGAATGCGAACGAAGAAAGCCGCCTACATCCACTAACGGCGAGGGAGGAAAGTCAGAACCACCCACATCGGGAAGGGCAGGAAACCACACATAGACAGGCAAGGGTAACCAAACTTGGGGGGGAAAGGTAGGCGGTGAGGGACGGAGGGCTTGGCAACGCTGAACCATATACATATATGTGGACATATAGACATTATATATAGAGAGTGTAAGACATCACGGGCCCCATATTTTACGAGTAAATCGAAGTTTTTCGTGGATTTTATAGTTGAAAAGTAATTACTAAGATATACAATATTAACATAGCAAACTCTTCTATAGAATACAGCTGTTATCAGAAGTCAACACGACTAGCAATCGAACATACCCGTAATCTCTGAAAATAATGCTGCCGACACCCTCATCCGAGCTGAGGCTGTGACCTCAGTATGTATCAGCTCAAAGCTAGTCTTTCAGCATGTATCCTGTATTTGGAAACCGGACTCAAAGCACACATGCATGTTTCTTGCAATCGGTCAGGTGTTGCAACTGTAACAGCAGAGTCATCAAGGTGACTTCGCCGTTTGAACCACATTTGCGTGATCTAATTACGAATTTTATGGCAAATACCATCTCCGTATCACACTTCGTCCTTCTGTATGATGTCTAGGAAACGATGGGACAAAACATGTAGCATGACATTGTTGAGACAAGAGAATGTAAGAACATGTGGTATGCCGAAGTGTGCGTGCATAAACTTGATACATTTGCACAGTGTTCTGTGGTGAGTGTGCACTGTCATACACGCGGATAGCAACGACGCGACATCCAAACCCGATTGGACAGGTTGGCAAACCTCTAACGCTGTCCCATCACTTCTTGACGATGCGCTTCATCATCTTGGTGGCAGGGGTCCTCTTGACGTGGCGCTTGATCACCTGGGTGGAAGAGGTCTTCTTGTCCGCGAAGGCGCTTTTAGAAGTCGCAGAGGATACTCGTGGGGATGATGCTGGGCGTCTGCATGTGTACTTCTTGCAAGCTGGGCGCTTAAGCAAGCCGCTTGTCACAGCAGCTTGCTTCCTGGCGGAGAAGGGGTTCAAATGATTGCGGTAGCCTTGACGAGTCAAGTCATTGTGCGTCTGCACGTACAGCAAGACGTAGAACGCGTGAGAGCGTGGCGACTTTGTGTTGAACTGCGAGGCATAACCGCGAAACCAAGCAAAGGTTTGCTCGGCAATGGAGGTGTTGATGCCCTCCAGGCGGTTATTCAAGCGATCAACGCACCAATGCTTAATGTGTTTGGTGCGTGCGTCTTTCCGGCCTTGCTGAACGCATCTACAGGCTCTGTCATAGACGATGCAGTCCAGTTGTGATGACCTCATCGCCACGAGATGAAGGACATCCAGGGCCACCTGATTATTCTCTGGTTGCTGCATTTCTTGTACTGCAGCTATGAGCCCTGTGCGAGGATCTATGGCCATGAACCAACCGTTATTACGAAGTTTCTCCTTGCCGTCTTTCCGAGGTCTTCCGGCATGCGGTGGAGGCGCACCGGAGCATGTCGTGGCCACTTTCTCATGACCATCAAGAACAATCTCCCGGATGGACATGCGCTCGGTGCGCGTCAGCTGATGCTTGTGCCACCACGAAGTGTAATCCGCCATGAATGTGTCGGTGAGTGGATTGTCCAGGTCGATGGCGGCGAGCTTGTCCAAGGCACTTGTTGATCGGGCCCACATTTTCTCAGCTTCGCGGATCATGTAGTAGTATAAGCTGGCGATACTGTACGCTTGATTGCAGCTCGCATGCTCGTTCTCATCCTGCCATAAGACTTCTTGTTGTGCCCATGCAATGGCATTGTTGCTGACACAGCTGCGAAACTGGACTAGAAACAAGGAGTGTCGAAAATATGGGGCCCGTAATGTCTTATTTTCTATATATATATATATATATATATATATATATATCTTTACACATATACACATAAATACATATATACAGATATACAAATATCCAGACATACAAATATGCATGCATGCATACACTTTTTGTCACTCGCACTCGACGCATCAGGCGAGGTTTCA